ATATATATATATATATATATATGTCGTGCCGAATATGTAAAACTGGTCAATTAGCAAGAACTCATTTAAAATTAAGTCCTTTCTAAAATTTCTCTTTTACGTTTAGAGATATATTTTTTCATTGATGTTAATATAAAAAATTTTAATTTTCCTCCAAAAGAATCTTAGAAAACTTACCTAACCTTATTATAACAAAAACAATTTATTTTAGCCTAACCCAACTAGATATATTTTAGATTTGTTTAAAATAATTAAATACTAAACAAACGCAGTGAAATATATTTTTTTTTGTTAGGTTCAGAATGATTTTGACGAAATTATTGCATACACAAATTTTCGCTTGTCCTATATGGCAAGATGAGCGTTGCTATTTAAGCCAAGATAGCAAGTTCTGCCTATTCGGCACGACATAATATATATATATATATATAATATATATATATATATATATATATATATATATATATATATATATATATATATATATATATATATATATATATATATATTTAACACACTGGCCGATTCCCACCAAGGCAGGGTGGCCAAAAAAGAAAAACTTTCACCATCATTCACTCCATCACTGTCTTGCCAGAAGGGTGCTTTACACTACAGTTTTTAAACTGCAACATTAACACCCCTCCTTCAGAGTGCAGGCACTGTACTTCCCATCTCCAGGACTCAAGTCCGGCCTGTTTCCCTGAATCCCTTCATAAATGTTACTTAGCTCACACTCCAACAGCACGTCAAGTATTAAAAACCATTTGTCTCCATTCACTCCTATCAAACACGCTCACGCATGCCCACTGGAAGTCCAAGCCCCTCGCACACAAAACCTCCTTTACCCCCTCCCTCCAACCTTTCCTAGGCCGACCCCTACCCCGCCTTCCTTCCACTACAGACTGATACACTCTTGAAGTCATTCTGTTTCGCTCCATTCTCTCTACATTCCCGAACCACCTCAACAACCCTTCCTCAGCCCTCTGGACAACAGTTTTGGTAATCCCGCACCTCCTCCTAACTTCCAAACTACGAATTCTCTGCATTATATTCACACCACACATTGCCCTCAGACATGACATCTCCACTGCCTCCAGCCTTCTCGCTGCAACATTCATCACTCATGCTTCACACCCATATACGAGCGTTGGTAAAACTATACTCTCATACATTCCCCTCTTTGCCTCCAAGGACAAAGTTCTTTGTCTCCACAGACTCCTAAGTGCACCGCTCACCCTTGTCCCCCTCATCAATTCTATGATTCACCTCATCTTTCATAGACCCATCCGCTGACACGTCCACTCCCAAATATCTGAATACATTCACCTCCTCCATACTCTCTCCCTCCAATCTGATATTCAATCTTTCTTCACCTAATCTTTTTGTTATCCTCCTAACCTTACTCTTTCCTGTATTCACTTTTAATTTTCTTCTTTTGCATACCCTACCAAATTCATCCACCAATCTCTGCAACTTCTCTTCCGAATCTCCCAAGAGCACAGTGTCATCAGCAAAGAGCAACTGTGACAACTCCCGCTTTATGTGTGATTCTTTATCTTTTAACTCCACGCCTCTTGCCAAGACCCTCGCATTTACTTCTCTTACAACCCCATCTATAAATATATTAAACAACCACGGTGACATCACACATCCTTGTCTAAGGCCTACTTTTACTGGGAAATAATCTCCCTGTTTCCTACATACCCTAACTTGAGCCTCACTATCCTCGTAAAAGTTCTTCACTGCTTTCAGTAACCTACCTCCTACTGAAAGCAGTGAAGAGTTTTTACGAGCTTGTGTGTGTGAGTAAATGCATATACATAAAAACCTTTCCTCCTTCAGCTGGAGGGAAGAGTAATAGGACACACTGATCAGTTAACATTGCAATAATCCTTCTTGCACTGTAATCTCGGCTAGGATGAGGAAGGTCAGCAAACTGGTCAGGTGATCCATGGAGTGGTCATAACAGCAGCTGGGGAGCACGGGCGGATGTCGGGAAAAACCATGGGGGCCAGTCTCCCAGGGCTACTCGGAGGAAAAAACCATAGGGACCAGTCTTCCCTGGACCACTCTGAGAGGAAAAGTAATAGAGACCAGTCTCCCTGGGCCACTCTGAAGGACTAACCCGGGAACCCGGAAGAGAACATTAGAGGCTACAGAGGTGTTGGGACTTCAAATGATGATTCTAACTTAGATACCATAAGAAAGTTATGAGATGCAGAATGGAAACAATGAATTGGAAAATCATGTTAGTTGTATTATAGTGAATGCAACATATATATCAATAACATTTTAATAAGAAATAATCTAATATTGCGGCCAGAGTATTTTAGAGAATATTTTCCTTTAACATAAAACAATGTGTATCTCTGCTCTATTACTGGACCAAACAAAAGATATAGCTCAGCTTAGTATAGATTTGATATGTTTTCATGAATCCAAAATCAATGAACATCATTTTCATGTACAGTACTTAACAGTTTATATGGGGGAGAATTCAGAGGACGAGTCGGTAGTAAGACTGGGAAAGCCACCCTTCATCTTTGGCTGACACGATACCCAAATGTTATACAAGTGTCTCATTGATCAACTTGTTGGTTTTGTGAAGGTCTCGGTCAGATGACCAAAAGCTCCAGTGGCGGGTCATCATATGACTAAGATCTGCGACAGATAACAACTGCCCTGTTTCTTGACGAATCTTACCTAGCCTAACCTTGTGTCTTTTGTCCACAATAACAATACTTTTCTGTTTCCTCGCATCCTCAGAGCAACTATGGCAGGAGTGAGGAGTTTCTCTTGTTCGCGTCGGTACACGAGGCCACCATGATAGAGAAGCGGGTCAGTGACAAACCTGTCACCTTCGAAATTTCCATCGGCAACGCTGGTAATTCCATTGATGGGTGTTCCTCCACCAGGCCCTCCAGCGACGAGGAGAGCGATGGAGACTCAGGTGAGAGAGGGAGGGTGAGTGATGGTGAGTCAAGCGAGACACAAAGTGATGGAGACTCAGGTGAAGGAGAGTGAGTGATGTTCACTCAAGTGAGACAGAAAGTGATGGAAACTCAGGTGAGACAGAAAGTGATGGAGACTCAGGTGAGACAGAAAGTGATGGAGACTCAGGTGAGACAGAAAGTGATGGAGACTCAGGTGAGACAGAAAGTGATGGAGACTCAGGTGAGACAGAAAGTGATGGAGATTCAGGTGAGACAGAAAGTGATAGAGACTCAGGTGAGACAGAAAGTGATGGAGACTCAGGTGAGGCAGAAAGTAATGGAGACTCAGGTGAGACAGAAAGTGATGGAGACTCAAGTGAGACAGAAAGTGATGGAGACTCATGTGAGACAGAAAGTGATGGAGACTCAGGTGAGACAGAAAGTGATGGAGACTCAGGTGAGAGAGAAAGTGATGGAGACTCAGGTGAGACAGAAAGTGATGGAGACTCTGGTGAGACAGAAAGTGATGGAAACTCAGTTGAGACAGAAAGTGATGGAGACTCAGGTGAGACAGAAAGTGATGGAGACTCAGGTGAGACAGAAAGTGATGGAGACTCAGGTGAGACAGAAAGTGATGGAGACTCAGGTGAGACAGAAAGTGATGGAGACTCAGGTGAGACAGAAAGTGATGGAGATTCAGGTGAGACAGAAAGTGATGGAGACTCAGGTGAGACAGAAAGTGATGGAGACTCAGGTGAGACAGAAAGTGATGGAGACTCAGGTGAGACAGAAAGTGATGGAGACTCAGGTGAGACAGAAAGTGATGGAGACTCAGGTGAGACAGAAAGTGATGGAGACTCAGGTGAGACAGAAAGTGATGGAGACTCAGGTGAGACAGAAAGTGATGGAGACTCAGGTGAGACAGAAAGTGATGGAGACTCAGGTGAGACAGAAAGTGATGGAGACTCAGGTGAGACAGAAAGTGATGGAGACTCAGGTGAGACAGAAAGTGATGGAGATTCAGGTGAGACAGAAAGTGATGGAGACTCAGGTGAGACAGAAAGTGATGGAGACTCAGGTGAGACAGAAAGTGATGGAGACTCAGGTGAGACAGAAAGTGATGGAGACTCAGGTGAGACAGAAAGTGATGGAGACTCAGGTGAGACAGAAAGTGATGGAGACTCAGGTGAGACAGAAAGTGATGGAGACTCAGGTGAGACAGAAAGTGATGGAGACTCAGGTGAGACAGAAAGTGATGGAGACTCAGGTGAGACAGAAAGTGATGGAGACTCAGGTGAGACAGAAAGTGATGGAGACTCAGGTGAGACAGAAAGTGATGGAGACTCAGGTGAGACAGAAAGTGATGGAGACTCAGGTGAGACAGAAAGTGATGGAGACTCAGGTGAGACAGAAAGTGATGGAGACTCAGGCGAGACAGAAAGTGATGGAGACTCAGGTGAGACAGAAAGTGATGGAGACTCAGGTGAGACAGAAAGTGATGGAGATTCAGGCGAGACAGAAAGTGATGGAGGCTCAGGTGAGACAGAAAGTGATGGAGACTCAGGCGAGACAGAAAGTGATGGAGACTCAGGTGAGACAGAAAGTGATGGAGACTCAGGTGAGACAGAAAGTGATGGAGACTCAGGTGAGACAGAAAGTGATGGAGACTCAGGTGAGACAGAAAGTGATGGAGACTCAGGTGAGACAGAAAGTGATGGAGACTCAGGTGAGACAGAAAGTGATGGAGACTCAGGTGAGACAGAAAGTGATGGAGACTCAGGTGAGACAGAAAGTGATGGAGACTCAGGTGAGACAGAAAGTGATGGAGACTCAGGTGAGACAGAAAGTGATGGAGACTCAGGTGAGACAGAAAGTGATGGAGACTCAGGTGAGACAGAAAGTGATGGAGACTCAGGTGAGACAGAAAGTGATGGAGACTCAGGTGAGACAGAAAGTGATGGAGACTCAGGTGAGACAGAAAGTGATGGAGACTCAGGTGAGACAGAAAGTGATGGAGACTCAGGTGAGACAGAAAGTGATGGAGACTCAGGTGAGACAGAAAGTGATGGAGACTCAGGTGAGACAGAAAGTGATGGAGACTCAGGTGAGACAGAAAGTGATGGAGATTCAGGCGAGACAGAAAGTGATGGAGGCTCAGGTGAGACAGAAAGTGATGGAGACTCAGGTGAGACAGAAAGTGATGGAGACTCAGGCGAGACAGAAAGTGATGGAGACTCAGGTGAGACAGAAAGTGATGGAGGCTCAGGTGAGACAGAAAGTGATGGAGACTCAGGTGAGACAGAAAGTGATGGAGACTCAGGCGAGACAGAAAGTGATGGAGACTCAGGTGAGACAGAAAGTGATGGAGGCTCAGGTGAGACAGAAAGTGATGGAGACTCAGGTGAGACAGAAAGTGATGGAGACTCAGGTGAGACAGAAAGTGATGGAGGCTCAGGTGAGACAGAAAGTGATGGAGGCTCAGGTGAGACAGAAAGTGATGGAGACTCAGGTGAGACAGAAAGTGATGGAGATTCAGGCGAGACAGAAAGTGATGGAGGCTCAGGTGAGACAGAAAGTGATGGAGACTCAGGTGAGACAGAAAGTGATGGAGGCTCAGGTGAGACAGAAAGTGATGGAGACTCAGGTGAGACAGAAAGTGATGGAGGCTCAGGTGAGACAGAAAGTGATGGAGACTCAGGCGAGACAGAAAGTGATGGAGACTCAGGTGAGACAGAAAGTGATGGAGGCTCAGGTGAGACAGAAAGTGATGGAGACTCAGGTGAGACAGAAAGTGATGGAGACTCAGGTGAGACAGAAAGTGATGGAGGCTCAGGTGAGACAGAAAGTGATGGAGGCTCAGGTGAGACAGAAAGTGATGGAGACTCAGGTGAGACAGAAAGTGATGGAGATTCAGGCGAGACAGAAAGTGATGGAGGCTCAGGTGAGACAGAAAGTGATGGAGACTCAGGTGAGACAGAAAGTGATAGAGATTCAGGCGAGACAGAAAGTGATGGAGGCTCAGGTGAGACAGAAAGTGATGGAGACTCAGGTGAGACAAGTAGGTAGAGAGAATGATGGTGACTCAGGTAAACGAGAAAGGGAAAATGATGGAGACTTAGATGAGGGAAAGAGGGAAAGTAATGACTCATGTGTGGCAAGAACGGTGATGGAGGCTGAAGGAAGTAAGAATGGAAAGAAGAATGATGAGGCACTGCAAGAGACGAATGTGATTGAAAGATTAAGGAAGTGCTTGGAATGAGTTACCATTCATAACTGTTGTATTGTATATCCCGTCCATGTTCCTGTTTCTTCTTCGTATTCTTCTTCATCTTATCTCTCTCTCTCTCTCTCTCTCTCTCTCTCTCTCTCTCTCTCTCTCTCTCCTCTCTCTCCTCTCTCTCTCTCTCTTTATATATATATATATATATATATATATATATATATATATATATACATATATATATATATATATATATATATATATATATATATATATATATATATATATATATATATATATATATATATATATATATATATATATATGGACGGTGTCTCGAACTGGGATCCTGGCATGTAACAGACCGAATACTGTACCTTAGAACAATGAAGCTTACAGTAGAAAGTTTTTACAAGCACATCACATTCGTGACTTGTCAGTGCACCTGCGTCACCAACTGTGACGCTACTGTCTAACCTCGGCAGCAGAAGATCTCATGGAGCGTGTATTTTTATACACCTCTAAGCTGTATACTCCTTTTACTCAAGATAAGTAATAAAAGAGAAGAGACAGTAGAGACACAGCTGGTGTCCTGCCTCAACTTATATGTCTCTCCCGGGTGCAGGTCCTGAGTCCATCATCGCTGAGGCATCTATGTGGCAGTCGACGACACCTCCTGCCAAGCCCATGACCAACGACAAAGTCTACTACTTCCTGCCTTTCTGGGACGACAAGCCGTGTCTCTATGTTAGAGCTTTCTTCCAGGACCACCGTCGTCGCCTCTACCACTCCAACGTCATCGACAGCATCACCACCAAACTGGTGAGTGCCTTTGACATAGATCTGCTCACTTCCTCCCTTCTGATTACCAGACCGATGTATGTTAAATGTCTTGCACTCTGGCTGCATTGCTGGTGTTTTCATGTTCTTACGTCAGTATGTAAGATACCAGGTAAGCCTCTCCCTTTCTCTCTCTCTCTCTCTCTCCCTCTCTCTCATAAGAACATAAGATTGGAGAAACACTTCAGAAGGCCTAATGGCAAGTCCTCATCAAAACCATTCATTCCGGAAGCTACCCAAGAATTTACTCACGAACCCACGATACCAATCAAACCCAGCCCCTCTCACTCATATATTTGTTTAATCTCTTCTTAAAGCTAACCAGGGTAGTTGCCTCGATTACCCTACTCCTTTTTAAATCTGAAGTTATCCAACGTAAATCCGTTATTCCTGGTTCTTACCTGAGTCGATATCCTCAGTATTTTATTAATATCGTCTTTGTTTATGCCCATCATCCACTTGTACACTTCGATGATACCTCCTCTCATTCTGTCTCTCAAGAGAGTGAAGATTCAAGTCTATCTTCATACGAGAGATTCCTTATACAGCGAATCATTTTAGTCCTCCTTCTCTATATATTCTCCAATGAATTTATTTCCATTCTGTACTAAGGAGACCAAAACTAAGCGCATAAATAGAGCTGTAAGATAACTTTTGGACTCCTGTTACTACTACTTCTTGAAATGAATCCTAGTTATCTGTTATCGTTATTGCACACACTGAAGCACTGTTGTCTTAACTTGAGGTTTCTGCTTACCATGACTCCCAAGTCCTTTTCACATTCTGTGTGATCAAGGTATACTTCACCTAGTTTATAACTTCTAGGGTTATTCTCATTCCCATGGACTAGGACCTTACACTTGTCCACGATGAACTTCATCTGCCACTTTTCAGACCAAGACATTAATTTGTCCAAATCCTCCTAAAATTCCTTGGTATCCTCCTCGGAATCAATCATTAGACCTATCAGCAAATTTGCTCATGTCACTTGTAATTCCTTCATCAAGGTCATTAATGTAAATTATGAACAAGAGAGGGCCTAAAACTAATCCTTGTGGAACGCCACTAGTGACCAGTCCCCATTCAGACTTGACCCCATTAACGGAAACTGCTTTTATTGGTAAGCCATGCCTCAATCCATGCTAGAACCTTACCTCCTATACCGTGAGATGCCACTTTTCTTAAGAGTCTTTTGTGAGGTACTCTATCAAAAGCTTTACTGAAATCCAAATAAACAACATCATATTCTTTATCACTGTCTACTCCCTCAAATATTTTATTGAACGTCAGTAAATTTGTCAGGCAGGAACGACCTCTCGTGAATCCATGATGAGATTCATTAATCAAATTATGCTCTTGAAGGTCAGCTATAATTGATTCTAATAATTTGCCTACTGTAGGCGTCAGGCTTATTGGGTGATAATTTGATGGAATGCACTTATCCCCTGATTTAAATATAGGAATAACATAAGCCATCTTCCATAACTCTGGCACAACACCAGACTGGATGGACGCATTAAACATGCTCGTTAATGGCTGACTAAGTTCCATCTTGAAAATAACTCATCAGAGCCAGGGAACTTACTTTCCTTCAATTTATCTATCTGTTTGATAACAGTTTCCCTCGTGACAGTAATATTCCTTAATTGGTTTTCTTCAGGAACTCAATAATTGTCAATTTCTGGGATATCATTTGTCTTCTTTTGTAAAGACTGACAAGAAATAACCATTAAATAGAGAACACATTTCCTGTTCATTTTCAGTCAGCTGTCCATCCCCAATTCTTGGCTATCCCAATTTTCCAACTTTTGTCCCTTACACTTGAAAGAACTCATTTGGATTAGTCTTTGATTTGTTAACAACTCTAATTTCATAGTCGCTTTTAGGCTTCCTAATCCCCCTTTTTACTTCTCTCTTAAAAGGAGCATATTAATCAATAAGGTTAACCTCTCCTCTTTTGATGCGCCTTTAAATTCCTCTTTTCTCTCCCAATAGCTGCTTTACTCTATTATGAATCCATCTAGGATCATTCTTATTTGACCTAATTTCAGTCTGGGGAATATATACTCAGTGCACATTGTACATTGTTAATAAAAAAAATCATAAACACCGTTCCCTTCGTTATCACGACTATGATCATCGTCAATATAATCATTAGCTAGAATACCCAATCGAGTCCATTATAGTCTGCAGAACGAAAATCGACTTTTACCGTATTATCCTTATTTTCGTTTTCCCAGGTAATATTATGTGATCACTTGTGCCAAGCTCTTCAGTGACAATTTACGAGGGTTTTTTTATTTGACAAAACTAGGTCAAACAAATTATTACCTTTGGTATGCTCAGGTACACATTGTTTCAGAAAACACTTTTGAACTACTTACAAAATCACTGGACTCTATAATAGCAGTCAGATTGACTAAAGTTAAAATTCCCCACTATTACTTTGTTATCGTGTCTAGAAGCCCTAACAATTTCGTCCCAAAGAAGTCTCCCTCTATCGCTTTCTAATCCAGGAGAACGATATATCACACCTAAAATAAGTTTTTCTTGACTTTTTAGAAATTCTACCCGCTCAGATTCTGTTACTAGTCCATCCATTTTCATACCTGTTTTTATGCAACAATTTATATTTTCTCGTGCATACAATATCTATCCACATGGAACAACTTAAACACTTGAATATGACACTCAGCAATCATATCGCGACTCTTTAAATTATACCATGTTTCAGTTACTGCAATGGCATCAAAGTTCCCGGCACACGCTACCAAACGTAATTCCTTAATTTTGTTTCTGGCACTTCGACTATTAGCATAAAATACATTAATAAGTTTTTTCTTCTGTTCCGTTTTCCTATTCACCTTTGCTTTTATACAATTTTTGTCATTATCATTACCCAGTGTTACTCGATGACTGTTATTATTAAAATTCGTAATGTCAACTTCGAAGTCAACATTTCAACACCCATTGTTTTCCATTTTAAACCCATACCTCTAACTAATCCTAGCTCAAAGTCCTAACAACACCCTCAACTGAACTAGCGAGAAAACCCACACCTACCCTAGATAAGTGAGCCCCATCCCTAGCATACATGTCATTTCTACCGTAGAAGTGGTCCCAGTTGTCAATGAATTATCCTTACTGTGTTTGTCCAGCCAACAATTAATACTAATTACTCTGGACAACCATTCATTTCCAACACCCCTTTTTGGCAAAATGCCACATATAACAGGACCCCACCCCCTTCTTCCTAATTATGTCTATTGTTGTCCTATACCTTCTAATTAAATCCTCACTTCTATGCTTGCCTATATCATTGCCTCCAGCACTGAGGCAAATAATAGGATTGATCCAATTACCGTTCATGATGTTGTCAAGCCGGCTAACGATATCGTCCATCCCAGCCCCAGAAAAGCAAACCTTTCGTTTCCTACTCCAATACTTCAAGCAGAAGCCCCTATACTTATATCTAATCAGACTGTCCCCAACAAGCACAATGTTCTTACCTTCCTTGTTGACGTTCCCAGTATTCGGTTCACATTTCGTCGGGTAGCATAGAGAATGGGTTAGAAGTTTCCACAATAACCTCCTGGTTCTTGGTTATTCCTACCTCTCCATCCATCGTCTTGATCCTTACCTTCGTTCCATGATGTCCGGCAACTGCCCAGGTTCCTTCCTTGACTTGAGGATTCACAACAGGAGGACTACTACGAATCCTCTTGTTTTCCTCCGTCAATCGCCGTATCTCGAGCTAAGCCACCCTAAGCTCCTCCTTAAGCTGTTGGTAAAGTTGTTCAATTAAGCACATCTTGGTTCAGATTCACAGACAGTACACTAGACACGTCGTCACAGAGCTAAGTACAGATCACCACTGAACTAAGTACTGCTCATCATTGAACAAACTACAGATCACCGCTACCTAAGTAGAGATCACTCTCTCTCTCTCTCCGAGCACTTAACCTGAGACACATATCTACCGAATAACCTCTGCAACAAATGCAAGACTGACAAATTTATGAGTAGCTTTCAGGAACATCAACAAAGAGGCATTCACGGCCTTATACACGGCATATGTCAGGCCCATCTTGGAGTATGCAGCACCAGTATGGAACCCACGTCTAGAAGAACATGTAAAGAAGTTGGAAAAATGCAAAAGTTTGCAGTAAGACTAGTCCCAGAGCTGAGGGTTATGAGCTATGAAGATAGGCTAGAGGAGGTAAACCTGATCAGACTAGAGGACAGAAGAACCAGAGCTGACATGATTACGACATACAAAATATTGAGAGGAATTGACAGGGTGAACTGGGAGAGTCTTTTAAACAGGCGGGTCTCAGGTACACAAGGACACAGCTAGAAGGTGAAAGCATGGATGAGTCACAGAGATATTAGGAAATAATTCTTTATCCCTAGAGCCATCAAGAAGTGAAGCGACCTCGATAGCAAAGTAGTAGAGGCAGAATCCACACATAGCTTTAAGAATAAATATGATAGGGCTCATGTAGCTGGGAGAGTGAAATCACCCGTGATCAGGAGCTGAGTCTCTACCCCTGCAACCATAATTAGGGAAATACACACACACACACACAGGCACACACACACACACACACACACACACACACACACACACACACACACACACACACACACACACACACACACACACACACACACACACACACACACAGAGGTATGATAAAGCTCACGGTTCAGGGAGAGTGACCTAGTAGCGATCAGTGAAGAGGCGGGGCCAGGAGCTCGAACTCGACCCCTGTAACCTCAACTAGGTGAGTATACACACACACACACACACACACCAGGCCTAGTGTCTAATCGACATGTGCCTAGGACAAAATGGTAACTAACACACACACAGCAGAAGCCAGGATATGGGCCCTAGAATATGAGGTAACTATGCTGAAGCGAGTTACAGGGCTATTGCCCAGAGGAGACATGGCATCTGAAGCAGGTACACTCCTACT